AGGAAGCAGTGGAAGTGAATCTTGGAACAGTGATGACCTATACATTATTTGAATATGCCAAGGATGATAAAGAGCAGTTCATGGAGAATCACTATCCCATTAATTCTTCAACATTGCTGAGCAATACAATCTCAATTGAAACTCCTAGCACAGGTGCGCCTGTGGCTCAAAGGAGTAGGGCGCCAGCCCCATATACTGGAGGTGACAGGTTCAAACCTGGCCCCGGCCAAAAACTGCAAAAAAAAAAAAAAAAAGAAAAGAAAAGAAACTCCTAGCACAGCCTCATCAAGTAATAAAAAAGACAAAAAGGAATGACTTTCAAAAGCCCAGACACTCAAGCTGACAGATCACAAAAGGGAACTTCCTTGGGGTCAGAACTGGGTTGATATTGTTAAGCATTTAAGCAAAACTGGCTCTAAAGATGATGAATAGTGCTTGGAATTGAAGACAAGGAAAACAGATTTTTTAAAAAGGAAACTGGGTTCACAATCTTTCTTTACTATTTTGTGGTACTAAAGTGGCTTTTTATAAAACTTTTTTTTTTTGAGACAGAGTCTCACCTTGTCATTCTTTGGGAGAGTACCATGGCATCATAGCTCATTGCAACCTCAAACTCCTGGGCTCAAGAGTCCTCTTGCCTCAGCCCACTGAGTAGCTGGAACTGCAGTAGCCTACCACAATGTCTGGCTATTTTTAGAGACATGGTCTCACTCTTACTCAGGCTGGTATTGAACTCTTGAGCTCAAGCAATCCACCTGCCTCAGCCTCCCAGAGTGCTAGGGTTACAGACATGAGCCACCGCACCCAGTGTAAATGATTTTCACAAACTTTTCTTAATAGACGGTGAAAATGTTACTGTTTAAATATACTTTAAGAAGCCTGTGGAGGCCAGGCACCATGGCTCACGCCCATAATCCTAGCACTCTGGGAGGCCAAGGCGTGTGGATTGCCTGAGCTCACTGGTTTGAGACCAGCCTGAGCCAGAGCAAGACCTTGTCTCTAAATATAGCCAGGAGTTGTGGTGAGTACCTGTGGTCCCAGCTACTGAGGAGGCTGAAGCAAGACAATTGCTTGAGCCCAGGAGTTTGAGGTTGTTGTGAGCTATGACACCTTGGCACTCTACCGAGGGTGACAAAATGAGACTGTCTCAAAAAAGTAAAACAAAAAAAAAAAAAAAGAAGCCTGTTGAGCTTTATGAATGGACAAATATGGGGAAAAGTAACCAGTGTTAAGTTATGTGATCTTATTCGAGTCTATGTGGTAGTTTTTAAAGGAGTTTAAGGCTGGATGCCAGTGGCTCACGTCTATAATCCTAGCACTCTGGGAGGCTGAGGCAGGTGGATTGCTTGAGCTCAGGAGTTCAAGACCAGCCTGAGCAAGAACACTGAGAGTGACAAAGTGAGACTCTGTCTCAAAAAAAAAGCCACAAGAATTTCTATGGGAGTTCTCATTTTGGTGAAGAAAACATTGGATGGTTTTGTAACTCTGCCTGGTGCAGGTTGTGCAGTTAGGTCAGCTTTTTTTCATTTGCACACAATTCTAGTCGTTTTTTCTCTGATGGAGGAGGTTGCTGTACAGTAGACATAAATGGAACTTCATTGTCAAGAGAGTCATCTTCAAGTGAGTGTAAGGAATCCTCTGAGTCAGACTCAGCATAATAGCCATCTTGAATAAGATATGCAGGTGTGTACAACAGAGAACCTGGCAATTATTTATTGCTCCACCTTTTTCATCTCCTGGGTCCTCATCAGAAACAGGTGCTATAGCATTTTCAGGTGGTCATGTCACTATAGCACTTGCTTCTATGCTGCCATCTGTCTCTAACAGGTCAGTTACTTCATGTAAACTTAGAGTTTTTTTGTTTTTTGGAGTTTTTTTTTGAGACAGAGCCTCAAGCTGTCCCCCTGGGTAGAGTGCCGTGGTATTACAGCTCACAGCAACCTCCAACTCCTGGGCTCAAGCGAGTCTCCTGCCTCCGCCTCCCAAGTAGCTGGGACCACAGGCGCCCGTCACAACGCCCGGCTGTTTTTTGGTTGTAGCCGTTATTGTTGTTTTGGCAGGTCCGGGCTGGGGATTTGAACCCGCCACCTTAGGTGTACGTGGCTGGCACCTTAGCTGGTTGAGCTATAGGCGCCGAGCCGTAAACTTAGAGTTTGAGGCATCCTGACACTTTTAAAATGATTTCAACTTAAAAAGGGGAAAGATATGATTAGTCCTGGTGGTAATATCTTTCCTAATGCTCCCAAAATGGAACATGCGAAAAAAAAAAAAAAAAGCCAAACTCATAACTAATATAATAATAATAACGTCAGTATTTTCTCTTTATAGCACAGTAGCATAACTAGTAGAGAAGTAACAGGAAAAAATTACTAGTATAAGATGTAGTATAGTAAAATTGTATTTACCTGCCTTTGGATGGTTCTTCAAAAATTTTCCAAAACTTCACATCACATTTTGACAAGCACACCAGTATCTATAGAAGTGACTAATTCAATTCATCATGCAATAACATGTACCCTCAGGAGGCAGACCTGTGTGAAAAATCAGACCTCGGTGATGACCTTGAGCAGCAAGATATAAATAACTCCCACATAACTTCTTGAGCATTCCAATAATGGAACATGAGACATAAGTGAGTTAATGCTTTCTTTCTGCCTTCTCCTCTGCCTACCCCTAATTGGCCTTCTCCTAGATAGAGGTTGAGATTTCTCACACACACACCCCTACCTGCCAATGACCCAAAGTGCAGACCTGCAGCCCAGACAGTTTGCTCAGCCCTCAACTCCCATTAAGCAGCTACTTCCCAGACACTTGGACACCCATGCTTAGCTGAGTCATGGGACCAGGCTGAGGCCACATTTTCACCTAGCCCCACCTCCACAAGCTGCTACTCTGTGCTATACTTGGGAAATGAGGTGCCATTAGTTTTTTGGGTTTTTTTTTTTTTTTTTTTTTTGAGACAGAGCCTCAAGCTGTCGCCCTTGGTAGAGTGCATCACAGCCGTGGCATCACAGCTCACAGCAAACTCCAACTCCTGGGCTCAAGCAATTCTCCTGCCTCCACCTCCCAAGTAGCTGGGACTACAAGTGCCCGCCATAACACCTGGCTAATTTTTGTTGCAGCCATCATTGTTGTTTGATGGGCCTGGGCTGGATTCAAACCTGCCAGCTCAGGTGTATGTGGCTGGCACCTGAGCTGCTTGAGCCACAGGTGGTGGCTCAAGTGGTGCCATTTGTTGTACTGCTCATGGTGGAATCTGGGAGTCATTCTGTACTCTTTTCTTCTCTTACACCCACATCCAGGGGCACAAGTCCCATGGATTCTCATTCTAACCACCCTGCAGCTGATCTGAGGTCCCCATTCAAATAGATGGTGGCTATTCCTTAACTATTTCCCCTGCCCCTCTCAGAGGAGCTGGGACAGCTTTTCTAAATCACAGGGACAATTGTCTTGTTTTTCTACTTATAGTCTATCAGTGGGCTTTTTACATCTTTCTTTTTTAGCATTTTTTTTTCTTTTGAAACAATGTCTCTGTCGCCTGGGCTAGATTATGGTGTCATCATAGATGCCTACAACCTCAAACTTCTGGGCTAAAGCAATCCTCCTGCCTCAGCCTCCTGAGTAGCTGGGACTACAAGTACACACTACCACAGTCAGCTAATTTTTCCATTTTCTGTAGATACATCTCCTTCTTATTCAGACTGGTCTCAAACTCCTGACCTCACGTGATCCTCCTATCTCAGCCCCCGAGAATGGTAGGATTACAGGCATGAGCCACTGTGCCTGGCCACTGGCACTTTTTTTTTTAGAAAGAGTCTCACTTTGTTGCCCTTGGTAGAGTGCCAGGGCACCATAGCTCACAGCAACCTTAAACTCTTGGGCTCAAGTAATTATCTTGCCTCGGCCTCCCAAGTAGCTGGGACTACAGGTGCCAGCCACAACACCCACCTATTTTAGAAACAAGATCTCACTCTGGCTCAGGCTGGCCTCAATCTGGTGAGCTCAGACAATCCACCCACCTCAGCTTCCCAGAATGCTAGGATTACAGTTGTGAGCCACCTCGCCTGGCCCACTGGCACTTTCTTGATGAGGATTTCCCCCAACAACTTGGGGCAGGCGGGAGGTGCCTGTGGCTCAGTGAGTAGGGCGCCGGCCCCATATACTGAGGGTGGTGGTTTCAAACCTGCCCCGGCCAAACTGCAACAAAAAAATAGCCGGGCATTGTGATGAGCGCCTGTAGTCCCAGCTACTCAGGAGGCTGAGGCAAGAGAATCACCTAAGCCCAGGAGTTGGAGGTTGCTGTGAGCTATGTGACGCTGCCACTGCACTCTACTGAGGGCAATAAAGTGAGACTCTGTCTCTAAAAAAAAAAAAAAACAACAACTTGGGGCAGACACACAGACCCACACCAGCCCAGTGTTGTGCCTGGGAAGCATTTGAGATGTGCCCTCCTCCTTGACACTTCTGGAGACTTGGTTCAAGGGTTCAGGCTTCCCCATCACCATGTTTCTTCCCTGTCCTGCCCAGGACCTGCTACCCATAGCCAAATTCTGCTCCCATGGGCTGTGCCAAGCTGCAGCCTGGCCTCCTTTTCTCTCTAGCCCAGCGGTTCTCAACCTATGGGGCCCGATCCCTTTGGGGGTCTCCTGCACATCAGATATTTATGATTCATAACAGTAGCAAAATTAGTTATGAAGTAGCAACAAAAATAATTTTATGGTTGGGGATCACCACAACATGAGGAACTGTATTAAAGGATCGCAGCATTAGGAAGGTTGAGAACCACTGCAACTGTACTCCTAAGAGTGGCACTTGGACCAGTGTCATAATGGGTTACTTGGGGGTTATTATCAGTTTTAGTAATAAAATGGAGGGTTTTGCATAAAATGGAGGGTTTGCATCTGAAAATGGTCAGATAGGACACCAGTGCTAATGTTTTGTTGTAGTTTGTTTTCTCTCCAGAAAATGAATCCTGATTTGTTCCTGTCTCTCTTATCTAGTGGTAAGCATCTGTGGCATTCAGGAAGAAGATACCCCGGATGCTCAGCTCACAAGGCTGGATAACATGCTGCTGGCCGAGGGTGTGTCCAGGCCGGAGAAGAGAGGAAGAGGACCGGTGGTGGTGGCCGGCACAGCAACACCAGGTGGCTGTCCAAATGACAATAGCATTGAGCACTCTGACTACAGGGCCAAGCTGTCTCAGATCCGACAGATTTACCACTCTGAGCTAGAGAAATATGAACAGGTGATCTTTCTACATGGAAGAGTTTCTGTCATGTGAATGCACATTTGTCAAAGCAAAACTTGGAACGCTAACCACCTTTCTTTTGTGGCGCAGAATAGGGAGTATACACAAAGGTGGTCAGTTTTACTGAAAGCCCTTTTCATTGACTTCTTAGTCACCAGCCTGTGTGTGAGCCACGGTAAGTGGCAGGTGGCTGGTTAGTCACAGGCTGGCCTGTCTGTGTCCCTACCCCAGGCCTGCCATGAGTTCACCATGCATGTCACCAATCTTCTCCGGGAGCAGAGCAGAATGAGACCCGTCTCCCCCAAGGAGATTGAGCACATGGTTGGCGTCATTCACAGCAAATTCAGTGCCATCCAGATGCAGCTGAAGCAGAGCACCTGTGAGGCCGTGATGACGCTACGCTCACGGTTCCTTGATGCCAGGTCAGGGACCACACACTGCCAAGACCCTGAGGGTGGGCTCTGAGGAAAATGGAGGGAATCAATGCTGGCTTGGGTTGGAGTTAGTCCTGGGGGTTCTGGCCCGACTATAGGCCTCACACAACCTCTTGGGAAGAAGATCCTGAAGTATTGATTGCTGTTTTTAGAATTGCTAGAAAACCACAGTTGGAGAGTCCCAACAAATTAACATGAACTGAGGCTATCTTTGCAGGCGTAAGCGACGGAATTTCAGCAAGCAGGCAACGGAAGTGCTGAATGAGTATTTTTATTCTCATTTGAGCAATCCTTACCCCAGCGAAGAAGCCAAAGAAGAGTTGGCCAGGAAGGGTGGCATCACAGTCTCTCAGGTGATGTCCTCTTCTGCCATGTACCCTGGGACCTATAAGGGGTGGCAGATTAAGTTTCATGAGGACAACCAGTGAAGTTAGTTAAATATGTGGACAGTGGGGAACAGGAGCCAAGTGTCCAGGCTCTGGGTCAGTCTGCTTAGGCTCAGGTCCTGGCTCTGCGCTATAAATGTGGGATTTAGGCAGGGGCTATCCTCCCTTAACTGTGAGAAAGCAGTGCAAGCTCACCGACCAAGATACCTAGAGACTCCTGAGGGACGATTGTGGAGTGTGAGCCCCCCGAAGTGATTGTGATGGGAGTGTGAGGTGATATGGGTGAAGCGTGTAGTTCTTGACCCTATAGCCTGCTTGTCTGCCACTAGTATCCTCTGTGTAGTTCAGGGCAACGGGGAGGATCTAAAGCAAATATCCCAGAGGGTTTTAACATGGGGACAGTAAGTCGAGGTCATACTCATGGGACAGTGTGAGTGTATAGAGTAGGGCCTGGCTGCAACACCCCCACTTGGGCAGGCACAGCCCTCTACTCTCTACTTTGCAGTTGAAGGGGCTAAGTTTCTAGCTGTTAGCCACCACGCTTTACCAGGCTAAGTCCAGCTATATCTCTGTAACAGAGAGCATTTGGAACCTCTCACGGTCACACAGGCAGCAAAATATCACAGAGATGCCAGTCACATCTCACTTTGCTCACTGGGTGAGCATACTTCTGTGGTATTGCCAGAAACAAGTGAAGAGCTAGAGCGAGGGACTATGCCTCTGGGTCCTCAAGGCCCTGGGACAAGCATCAGGCATGACTGCCCCTTGAGTATCACAAATAGTTGTCTGAAGAACAACCAGACTCACTTCAGGGCTGGGGCCTTTGGACAGAGATAGGTCTTGCATCTGAGATTTCATCTGGAGAGAGGGTTGGTTGCAGACAAGAGTTTGAAAAGCACCAGCCATGTTCCAGGAATTGTCCCACTGTGTGGTCTAGGCCCAAGACCTTACCTATCCTGCTCCACAGGAGAATTCTGTGGTAGGAACACTCTACTTTGGTGGGACCACCAGGTCTTGGGACATGAGGGCCTTTTTAATTCAGGATACAGATGTTATATAGGCTTTGAAGTTCACCCAAGGAGAGGTGAGGGAGCAGGGAAGGAATGATCAGGGAAAGATGTCATGGCTCAGGCCTCTGGACAACTCTAGGACACAGTCAGCTCCTGAGGCCCAGGCTGAAGAGACAAAAGTGAGAAAGGGAGTAGGTAGCCCAGCCAAGGTGGGGCTAGGAGAGCCCTGGACAACTGCAACTGCCTGAGTCAGAGTCCTGGGTGGGAAGTGGCTGGCAGTTCCTGAGTTACCTCAGGTGGAGAAGATGCATAGGCCCAAGCTGGTGCTGCCTCCACACCTAGATGGGGTGCCATTCCCCATGGATATGGCAGGCCCTAGCCAGGGGCCAACCTCTTCCAGCCACTGGGACTTCTTTTCCTCCCAGTGGCAGGTCCAGGGTTTTTGATCCTGCCATGCAGACAGCTTGCTGTTTGTCCCTCCAACGTGCCAAGGAAAGGTTATTTGCTGCCATTCTTTCTACTTCTTTGTGGAAATAGGTCTGCTTCCACAAAGAAGTTCTAGGGCATTCTTTGCATATAAATGGAAGCCAGTGCTTACCTCACTTAGGTCAAGAGAAAGTTACCTCATGCCCAGCGACAGGCAGGGAAGAGGCACTCTTAGGAGCGGAGAGTACATAGGCATCTTTCTGATACTGTAGAGACATTAAAGAAAAACTGTTTTGGTTTTTCTTTTAAGACAGAGTCTTGCTTTGTCTCTCTAGCCAGAGGGTAGTGGCACCTTCATACTTAACCTCAAACTCCTGGGCTCAAGTGATCTTTCTGCCTCAGTTTCCGAGTACCTAGGACTATAGGTGTGCACCACCATGTCCAGCTAATTTTTTCTATTTTTAGTAGAGATGGGGTCTCACTCTTGCTTAGGCCAGTCTCAAACTCCTGATGTCAAGCCATCCTCCCATTTGGACCTCCCAAAGTGTAGGAGTATAGGCATGAACCACCATGCCTGGCCAAGAACAAAGGAGCAAAGATTTTTTAAGGAGCAAAGATCATCCACAATCCTACTTATCACTCAGCAATTTCATTTTTGCTCATTACACTATTGCATATTGCACTTGCTTTGGGATATGGACCTGTGGCCCTGGATGGCCATCAGATGTGCCTTTAGGGAGGTTGCCCAGGGGTGCTCACCCAGGGATGATTCTGTTCCTGGAGACATTTTTGTCATCATGACTGTTCTTGATATCCAGTGGGTACAGGTTACAGGTCAGAGATGTTACTCAACCACCTACAATGCACAGGACACCTCCAGAGAGTGATCTAGCTCCATGCATCAGCAATGCTGCTGAGGGTGACAAGCCCCCACCCCAAGAGACTCCTGTGCAGTTTGGAGATGGGCTCAAATTCCATCTTAGTTCTGGACCAGTTCTTTTATTCCACTGAGCCTCTGCTTTCTTAGAGCATGGGTGTGATAACAGCTCCTTCCCAGGTCGTCATAAAGAGTAGGTGAAACAATATATGAAAAGTGCTTAGCTCAGTGCCTGGGTCATTACAGCTACCCTCCCAGAGTTCGTCTTTGTCATTTGCTAAGTTCTAGATTTGATCACATTCCATTGTTTCCCTAGACTGAACTCCCAGAAGTAGAGTTACCGGGTCCCAGGCTTCTTCCTGGCTCTTCCTTTCCCTGTAGAGCAGCGGTTCTCAATCTGTGGGAGGTGACCCCTTTGGGGGTCAAATGACCTTTTCACAGGGGTCACCTAAATACATCCTGCATATCAGATATTTATATTATGATTCATAACAGTAGCAAAATTACAGTTATAAAGTAGCAATGAAAATAATTTTATGGAGGGGGTCACCACAACATGAAGAACTATATTAAAGGGTTGCAGTATTAGGAAAGTTGAGAACCACTGCTGTAGAGGAATTCACAGTGTACCCTGCACCCTATTGCTACAGTGAGCTGCAAGTGGCACTTCTTTCTTGCATCCCTGAGCGTATCACAGACATCCTTGTTTTCCTTCCTTGTTCCAGCAGTGCCTGGTTCTTAGGCAGTAGAGTTTGTTTTTCTCTCTCTCTTTTTTTTTTTTTTGAGACGGAGCCTCAAGCTATCCCCCTGGGTAGAGTGCCGTGGCATTACAGCTCACAGCAACCTCCAACTCCTGGGCTCAAGCGAGTCTCCTGCCTCCGCCTCCCAAGTAGCTGGGATCACAGGCGCCCGGCACAAAGCCCGGCTATTTTTTGGTTGCAGCCGTCATTGTTGTTTGGCGGGTCCGGGCTGGGGATTCAAACCCGCCACCTTAGGTGTATGTGTCTGGTGCCTTAGCCGGTTGAACCACAGGCGCTGAGCCGTTTTTCTCTCTTAAGACACGCTGGGTCCAGGGTGTCCTCAACCCATGTGGACATTTCCCTGCGCCCATGGTTATCTGGTGGCACCTCTCAGGCCTTGCCTCTTAACCAGCTCCCAGACTGAGTATGTCCAAAGCCTATCATGTCTCATGCCGGGTCATTTCCTCCAACAACTTTCTGTGTGGGTATCCACAGGTCTCTAACTGGTTTGGCAATAAAAGAATCCGGTATAAAAAGAACCTAGGAAAGTTCCAAGAAGAAGCTGCTATCTACACGGGTAAATCAGCCACAGACATCACCGAAGTCAGGGTCCCAGGGAGCCACACCAGTTGCCCATCAACACCAAGCTCTGGTGAGTGAGGCTGGCCCAGCCCGGGGACCATTATCTTTTCCCACGTGTCCAGGACCACCAAACACCATGGGGGCAGCTGTCATGAGACCACCCTACCCCTCCCCAACTGGTCACTGTGTGTAACTCTTTCCTCTGTCTAAAATGTGAGATGTTGGTTTGTGTTGGCCATGATCCCAATGATACCTGCAGGCAGTGCTACTGCTAAGGGGACAGGAACACTGATACCAATAAGAACATGAGCAGTGGGGGGTGGGGGGGCTGCTCTCCTCCCTGAGCAAGTGCTCTCTCCCCTGCATGGGGCTTGGGAGGGGCAGAGGACAGATGCCTGGTTGGCAGGAGCCACATTCCCACCTGAGGGACTGCCATAACTCTACTGACGCTGGCTCCTGCTATACCACTCCCACCTCTTCCAGGTTCCTCTGGGCCCTTCCCACTGACCAGTGTCGGGGGTTCCTTCTTTCTCACCTTGCAGATGCTGGCATATCTCCAGCCCTCTCCTGGGAGAACCAACCTACAATCCCAGGTGAGTCTTGGGCATAGTCCCACAGAGCCCAGATGGGTGGCTGATCCTTAAAATGGGCCCTCTTGGGCTCGGCGCCTGTGGCTCAAGCAGCTAAGGCACTAGCTGGCGGGTTCGAATCCAGCCTGGGCCTACCAAACAACAATGACGGCTACAACCAAAAATTAGCCGGGCATTGTGGCGGGCACCTGTAATCCCAGCTACTTGGGAGGTGGAGGCAGGAGACTCACTTGAGCCCAGGAGTTGGAGGTTGCTATGAGCTGTGATGCCACGGCACTCTACCAAGGGTGACAGCTTGAGGCTCTGTCTCAAAAAAAAAAAAAAAAAATAGGCCTTCTTGTCCTCCACCTCCCAAACTTGCCTCAGGGAGGATCCCTGGAGGTCCCAGCAACCATGTGTGGTTCATGTTGTGACAATTGCAGTTTGGCTAAGCCACCTCCAGGAGCACAGCTCTGCAGGACTCATGCTGCAAAGACCATCCCCGTCATTCCTACCTCTGCCTGTGGCAGGATGGTAACTCGTGGCACCCACCAGGAGCAGTCAGTGGATACAGGCCCTCAAATGAGGGCTTTGGTTGTGGAAGGAAAGGATCCCCCATCCTGAGGGAGCATGGGGAGGAGGTAGCATCTATCCCTGGAGAGAAAGGGGCAGGCAGCTCACAGAGGAGGCCTGGAGGAAAGATAGGGTCCTTGTATTGCAAATGTGGGGCTCTGCTGGGCTCAGACTCACCACCGCCTTGCCAGGGCTGCAGTCCTAGCTGGGAAGAGGGCTTTGCACCAGCCCCTCCTTTTCTACTGTCTGATGAGGAGCTAAAGGTGCCCAACTTGGCCAGAGAGAGGATTCGTTTTGGGACTGACAAGAAAATGAGCCAGGGGTCTCAGGCAACTGACATGCCCACCTCTGAGAGGCCTTGGGACCTCCCCAGTCTCCCTGGATGGTCATGGGCACAACCTAGTTGCAGGTGAAGCTTGTGGGACCCTATATATGGATTGTCCTGAAGATACTGCACAGGCATGACCACCTTGGAGCAAGGCTGTACGGCATTGGCCAGGGCCCTGCAGAGTCCACATTTCCTTCATGGAGGTGACCCCTGCAGAGCCAGGCAGACCCCTCCTGACTTATCACCTCAGCCACTTGGGGGCTCAGAATGGACACACACCCTACACTGTCCCTGTAGTGGCAGTCCTCTTGCCCTTTGCACCACTATGGCTCAGTCCCATGGTTCATGCATAGCAGGTACAGGTGTGTATAACATGAGTTGGGGGTGAGGTTCCCAGCCATCACCAGCCCTGGACCCACCAGGCTTTCCTACCCACCCTATGTAGCCAGCTGGGAAGATGGGGTCCTGGTATAGATGCCACAGCCTTCAGGCACCTGTACCCATATTGTGCTCAGCATGGCTGCCTTATCCTGCCCTCATCTTTCAGAGCACCCTCCACTCCCAGTGACAGGCCCTATGAAGACCCCTCACTGACAGCTACCTTCCACTGTGCCCTACATAGCCTGGGCAAGCACAGATGCTCCATGGTAGAGCAGGTGGCCCTCTTTCGGCCCTGGGCATCAGCTCTCCCCTTCCCCATTAAGCTCTTCCTTTTGGGACACAGACCTACTATCCATTTTCCTGACTAAATGACAGGTATTGTGCATCCGTCCCAGGGCAGAGTAGCTCTTAACATCATGTCTGAGCTCCTCTCAGACTAACAGACCTAGTGTACGCCCTACCCATGACAGTGAGAGTAGGACCTATGGACGAATGTCCTATAGTGTCCTACACCATCCCTGTCTCACAGAAGGAGCCCCCAGCTCCTCATGATAAGGGGAGCCCTCCCCTGCCAGCCATGCGCCGTGTCCTCCTAGCTGCCGCTTCAGGCCAGTGTCAGGGCAGGGTAAAGAGCTTCTTCCCTCTCACTGAGTCTCGCCAGTGGGAGACTCTAGGCTCTAGGCTTGACCTTGTCTACATCAATCCTTTGCCAAAACCCATGGGGCTGCCAGTGGAAGCCATTTTTCCTGCTGGGGAAGCTTGTCCATGACACAGGTAAGGTGATAAGGCTGCCATGACCCAGGACTGACCACCCTGTCCCTTCTTTCCTCCCCTGGCTGTCCTTGAGGTTATCTGTTGGTGTGATCTGAGCCTTCCCAGGGGCCCCTGGAAGCCCTGCCTTGGGGATGTAAGGGCTGGTGGTCGTTTGTCTCATAGTCACTGCCTCTGATGTTCAGTCTCTGTCTTTTCAGGCCAGTGGTAGTTGGGAGGGGGCCACCCCTCCCACCCCCGCTGTTGACCACATCACCTGCTGGAGACCTTGGCAATGTCAACTCTGACTTATAATTAAGTTTGGGGGATGAGCAGGAAGGAGAGCCACATAGGTTCCTGTGCATTGCTAGCACTTGAGTTGTTACTGCACGTGTACCTGATGACCTCAGAACACCCAGGACAACTGGAGGTGGTGATCCTCAGCCCCTAGTTCCTGGCCTCAGCCTGCAGCGCCAGCCTACTTATCTGCTAGAGTTCAAGATGGCCAGGAATGGCACTTAATTCTCCCACCTCAGTTGTTTTCTTAATAGTAATTTTATGGTAAGACTGAATTGTCTCTTCTAGGACTTGTCACAAATTTCCCATTAAAATTTTTGGCTTATTAAAAAAAATACTTTTTGGCTTATTTTAATTTGGATATTTGTTCACTACACAGATGTGTTTCAGGTGGTAGTTGTAGGCATCGATCACAACTGTAAGTGTCTCACACAATGTGCTTCTGCTGCTCACCTATGTTACCATCTACCTACTTCCCACATGGTGTGTGGTTATCTCATTATGTTCTGATTTAAATCTGTCCTAAGCTCAACATTTCAGTTGGAATTAGTTTTTCACTTTGTTTTGTTTTTGCTGTTTTTCTGTTTTGTGTTTGGGGGGGTGGGTTGAGACAGTTTCACTTTGTCGCCCTCAGTAGAGTGCTGTGGTATCATAGCTCACAGCAAACTCAAACTCTTGGGCTCAAGAGATCCTCTTGCCTCAGCCTCCCAAATACTGGGACTACAAGCACCCACCACAATGCCCAGCTATTTTTAGAGACAAAGTCTCACTCTTGCTTAGGTTGGTCTCAAACTCCTGAGCTCAAGCAATCCACCAGCCTTGGCCTCCCAGAGTGCTAGGATTCAGGCGTGAGCCCCTACACTCAGCCTGTTTTTATGGGGGGGGGTTGTTTGTTTTTAGTTGAAATGTCATTACATTTCTTATGTCATAACAAAAGCTTTCTGAATACTTTCCTGCACTCTGTGTTATGAGGTCTCACCGGCCCATTTCTGGCCAAGGCTTAATGCTCAGCATCCCTGTATCCTGGGTCTCCCTTTTCTGTCATCTGCCTGAACCTTCAGATACCCTCTGCTTGAACTCCCGGTCCTCTGTTTGAACCTTCCTCATCTCCTTCCCAGCCATTGCCAGGTCATGACTTCCTCACCTGCAAATGGGGAATGTGCTGCCAAGCCTGGAGCAAATGTTCCCTGCCCACCCTCATCAGTCAATGTCATGGCACCCCAACCCCATCCCATCAGCTGCCGCCATGACCAGTGTCTGAGCTTCTGTCCTGAGTTTTCCATCCCTTGACATGGCTCAGGAAGGCTTTCGTGTGCCTCCACACCAGTTCACTCTAGGTCCTGGCCAGCTGGACACCCTAGTGTCCTCTGGTTCCTAAACTGAAGGGCCCTACCCTTTTGAGGTCCTGCCATCCTCCTCTCCCCTTGAATACCAGAACCTGTCAGGCACCACCATGGAGCTGACACATGCTGAGCTGATGGGGGTGTCCTCGCCTGGCTCTGTGAGGGCTACAGATCAGGGGCTGTTCCATGAGTCCTGAGAGTATAACTGCCACAAATGAGGGAGGGTTGGTCCTACCTCTGATCCCCAATGGGCTCCAGTGAGGCCCCAGCTCTAGCTACCTGCAGACCTAGCCCCTGCCCCTGCCCCTGCCCCGGACTCCAGAGTCTCTCAGCCAGGGGATCTACCAGGCCCCAGACCTCTGTGCGCTGTGGTCAGGTAGCTCCTGCCAGCTGTGTCACCACACTGTCTCCACATGCCTCCAAGAGCCAAGAACAGGATTCCAGCTGCACATAGTACCAAAGGGCATAGGAAAGTACCTGGGCACTCCCTGACTTGTCCTGACTCCTTCCCCAGGTTTGTCCTGCTGCAATGATCTAATAGGACACCCCAGCTTAATGTGGCTCCACTTTTCACCAGCACGTGCTGTTGCCCACCTCACTCTTCCCCATGTGATATATCCTGGATATTTTTCCTCATCTATTCCAGAGAGGCCTCTGTGTCTCTCATGTGGTCCCAAGTATAGGATGTTTAGGGAATTCCCATCTTTGCTGCTCCCCGAAGTTTAGCCTTATCATAGAGTTGATCGCATTACCACCCTCCTTCCTTCCCTCATTGCCTCGCATGATGTCAGGGCAGACCGGGAGAGCCATCAGAGAACCACCCCAGTGCAACTGTGA